TCGAGGTAGATTATGTTAACCATTACTTTTGACCGTTAACCTTCGCTAAAATTTTCATCCTCTTTTCCCTAGGGACTTCTTTTCATTTACAAATCGTGCACTAGTTTTTCGCTCAAATTACAAGGAATTTACCTCGTGGATGTTACTTTCCGCATTCCCCTGTCACACATACAGCTTACATTTCATATTTTTACACTAAATCTTGTAAAGAAACAACGTTAAGAAGGTATTCAGTAAAACTGTTTACGTTTTAAGAAATATTTCAGTCTGCATTACTGAAAATATTCCTCCCACAACCAAATAAAACACTGGACACACTACGTATATGTAATTGTTGTGATATCTAAGTCACTCTTTATGATTTTCATTCATTACTCGTTCATGAATATTTCAGCATTCTCTCACTAGTATTAGCGAAATACCAGGCACACTGCATTCTAAAATACCTTTTAGGTTCGTCATTACAGCGAACGTCCTACTCGTCGGTTCTTAACATCGAGATCAAGTCTTTTGGCTCGACTCGCAATCTGCAGGTTCGAGTCCTCGTCCCACCAAACATGCTCGCCCTTTCAGCCGCGGGTGTGTTATAATGTGACGGTCAATCCCACTATTCGTTGGTAAAAGACTAGCCCAAGAATTGCCTTCCTTTCTAGTCTTACACTGCTAAATTATGAACGGCTAGCGCAGATAGCCCTTGTGTAGCTTTGCGCGAAATTCAAAAACAGTCAAGTCTTTTCCCCTTTCACTCTGTTTATCTAATTTTTGTTTCCAATGTTGATTACTATCCTCCTCATGTAAATGATTCACTTGTGTTGTAAAACACTTATGAATGACTCCATGTAATGTTAGCACAGGTGAGAGACCACACATGTGCATTGAGTTGTATACATACATTGCTAAGTACGCACAGTGGCGTCATAAGTCAAGTACTCTAGTAGTTCATTACAGCTGGCGTCCGACCACTGCATGACTCAATTCGGTGTCTCTCGGGTTACCTTGCGAATTTACACGTAAAAAGGTATATTTAGCCAGAATTAAAATTCGTGCTGTTACTACTGTACTACAACATACATTCAGAGCAAACACAACTCCCTCCCAGCTTGTAAATCCGGCTTACGTCCCAGGTAATTAGAAGAAATCTAATGAGTATAGAGTGACTTGCTCCATAGGTTTCTTTACCATTCAGTTGGATTATCGGAGTGATTCTCTGATCAAGGTAAGAGCCAAGTATAGTTAGGAAACGATTCTTTCTCAGTCAACTTATTCAAATGGGTTTCCTCCTCAAACAGGATCTCCATGACTCATGGTGGTAGACAAACACCGACTGGTTATGAGAATATCACACCTTATGTAAATCTCGGTACTTACGATAGACTTGCCAGCCATATATCTATCACAGAGGACATTACTGCCCTTTCAGCCTGAGTAAACTATTATCATTTACCAGAGAATTTACATTTCATCCTCAGACGTTAGGCACACCAGCAATAGAGTGGAGCCATATTTTCCACAAGAAAAGCAAACTGCTTGTGCCACTGAATTATAAGAGTTTACCAAGTGGTCGGCAAACTTAGAAAAGGCCAAGAACTCTTTAAAGCATATATCACATGTCATTCTTTTAAAGAGTATGGTAACATACAAGGTTGTGCCTACACATCTACAGATATCTAGTTTATTTCGCCTGGTCCATGCAACATACACATTGATGAAATTGTTACAATATTCATTGTTATTGCCATTGGTTGGTGTATTATCAACCTTAAAAAAAAAGAATGCAAAATTTTCTACCAACGAGTTGGAAACAGTGTCAATAGATTCGTTCCTATCCAGGTCAATATTCATTTTGTATGTTTTCTAATTAAATTTAACAAGTTAATTGGAAGGACATGTTGTTTTTAATTTCTTGACTTAATTTCAAAGGATGGCATATTTTGTAGGTGCATAGAAACACAGAGATTGCAACAGATGCTTTAACATTTTTTGTGGTAGCATGAGAAAAAGTGTTCTAGTAACTGAGAGGGCTCATTAGTTTTTAATAGAACAGGTCCTGTGTCAATTCTAGTTATAAGAATATGGAAGAAAGAAAGTGAGTTGTTCTTTTCCCATTCAACTTTATAGTGCTGTGAAGTTTTTTTTTAAAAAAAAAGTTTGGAAAATCACTTCTGTGAATTGGACAGACAGAAGACATAACACACCATAATGTTTAGGGAAAACAAGAGACCTGTTGGTCAGTCTTAGCTGCCCCATCCTCTAAACTAAACTATTATAAAATTAAACAACACTTAAATCCAGCCCTTATCATTCATATAGTTATCAAGCTTTCTCTTAAACTCACTTAAATTTATTGTCTCTACAACATCTGAAGGCAACCCATTTCAAAGGCCAACCACCCTGTTAGAAAAATAAAGCTGTCTTAGCTGAAGATGACTCCTACCTTGCCAAAATTTATATTTGTGTCCCCTAGTCCTACTATTCTCGCTGTTAAGTTTAGAAAAAGATGCTGCATCAAAACTATCAATTTATAATCTTAAATATCTCAATCAGATCCACCCTAACTTCTTTTTTCAAGAGAAAACAGTTTCAGAGATCTTAATCTCTCCTCATATGACAAACCCTCTATCCCATGCACCATTCTAGTAACCCTCCTCTGAACCCTTTCCAACAATTCAAGTGCTTCCTAAGGTATGGAGCCCAAGACTGAACACAATACTCCAAATGTGGCCTAACCAGCAGTCTATACAATGAAATTATAACCTCTTTAGACTTGTATTCAGTATTTCTGTAGATACAACATAAAATCCTATTTGCCTTACTACTAGCAACAGCACATTACTTTGATGGTTTAAGAGATTGATCAACCATTACATCAAGACCCCTTTCTTTAGTGACACTTTTAAGTTAAGATTATTCCCATCCAAATGATATTTATAATTCAAATAATGATAACTCATATGCATTATTTTGCATTTATTATAATTAAAACCCATCTGCCATTTATATGCCCAACTCACTAAATCCTTTTGTAAAGCAACAGCATCCTCTTCATGGTAAGCAACACCCAAGACCTTAATACCATCTGCAAATTTAAGTAATTTATTGACTATCCCTTTATCTGTCATTGATGTAAGTCAAAAAGAGCAAATGTCCTAAGACTGAGCCCTGAGGTATCCCACTTGTGATATTAATCCATTTTGACTGAACTCCATTTATAACAACCCCCTGCTTTCTTCCATCAAATTACCTAACTTATCTCCCACACCTATACATATAATTTTCTTCAGAAGCCTTCATGTGGCACTTTGTTAAAGGCTTTCTGAAAATCCAAATACACCAAATCTACACCCTTACCCTCATATACATAAGTAGTAACCTTTTTAAAGAATGTCAAAAGATTTGTAAAGTAAGATTTTCCCTTAGTGAAACCATGTTGAATATCCAATAAAATTCTAAACTTTGTTAAATGACTTTGCAAAACATCTTTTATCAGACTTTCAAAAACTTTTCCCACAACTGATGTAAGACTAATAGGCAAATAATTACTGGGACAATTTTATTACCTCCCTTGAAAATAGGAGTGATATTAACTAACTTCCAATCCTTTGGCACCTGCCCCACTATACAAGAACATATAAAAAATATTAGCAAGTGGCTCGCATATCCAATCCTTAACCTCCTTCAGAACCCTTGCAAAAATATTATTTGGCCCAGGAGCTTTACTTTTTTTAAACTTCCCCATTTTTTTCTTAACAAGCCCAGATTTAATGCAATCACAGTCCGACCCCATTTCCATCTAAGAATTGTTCAAGATGAGAAATACTGCTTAAATCTTCCTTAGTAAAAACCGAAGAAAAAGCAGAATTTAATAACCTAGTCATCTCATAATCACCAGGTACAAGCCTTCCTCTATATCTCTCAAGGGTCCTACCAACATTCTAACATTTTGTTTACCCTCAATATACTTAAAGAAATCCTCACTGTTAATTTTTACATTTTCAGCCAACCTTTTTTTCCCTATACCCTTTTTGAAGTCCTAATTTCCCATCTCTCAAACTTTTTTGACCTTCTATGATCTTCTAAGTCTCCCATCATGTCAGTCAGTTAATGCAACCATGAAATAATCTTGTTCATATCCAGGACTCAATTTTAACGGTCATTCGCAATGATTAAAAACAGGCTGTACTCTACTGTACTTGTCGAGCAGACCAAAATGGTTAGAATGAAAATACTGATTGTGATTGGCCATGATCAACCATTAGTATGGTTTGAGCTTATTTTTCCAAAGTAATGAAACTTTCCAGGAAATAAGGCATCAAGAATTAGCTGAATAAAGATGAAAAACTGCCAACTAAACATTAATTGTACTTTATGGAAAAAAATAAGATACAAAAACATCAAATTTGTAATTGGATCTTTTTTGAGGGTTTATGTATTTTGTACTTTCTAAAACAACCTGGAAATTTCATTTAAATCAAGCCTTGATATCTGTTGATGGAAGTAATTCACTCTCAAAATACTCCATAAAGACATTAAATAGTATTGGAGATAATGGATTTCCCTACACTATTTCTTTTTTTTTTGAAATACTGTCCTAAACAGGTGAACACATTGTTTTCAACCAAGATATTGGTGAGCAAAATGAAAGTATTAACTGGAACAGGAAGTGTTAGGTGTAATATAGGTAATTTGTGTCTGAAACATTCTATTGTTTCTTGTACTAGTACATTAGTGAATAATGCATCAATGTGGGAACTGACCATACTATCTTCAGTTATGGAATATTTTTATATTTTACAGGCTATAGAAAAACACTTGTAGTACAGAATACAAATTTTCATTTGTGTACCACAGACTTGAATCCTGAACTTGGGTGTTATAAGCTTTCAAGCTTACTGTTGGTCCACTGGCCAGATGGGAGGGACAAAGTTTTTACCATAAACACCAACCTTATAACCATGTTCTTAATATTCCATTAAAAGTATATCAAAGACAATATACAAAGATAGATGTGCATACTACACAAACACCTCTAATATTTAATTCCCACAAATGTCATAATACATAGAGTATGACAATAAAGAAACTAATAGAGGCGCTGAGGTGGGCCCATGGTACTTTTAATGTGCAAGGATCGTATATTTTGCCAATTCTTCTTCAGCAGAGAAACCAGGAAGTTGATTGCAAGGTTAATGTTCTGGGCTAGTTCATCCTCAGACATTTTTACATGGCCAACAGCTACTGCCAAACATAACACCTAGAAACAATAAAATTATAAACATTCAGGTGAGTTGCATGGAAACATTCACATGTAACTTAATATTATGTTTGTAACCACAAAATCTAGAATTAAATGAAAGTTACCCAAGAATTATGAAAATCAGATAAAGCAAGTAACATCAAGCAACAGATAACTGTTAACTGAAATATACATCAGGAATTTTATGTTCCAATCTTATCACAAATTCATATTTCGGAGCTTATTTTATTTATAAATTATCAAACATGCAGAATATCACTTATTGAATATTTTCATATTTTGAAGAAAATGAAAATTTCAGTAAGCAACAGCCTAACCAATACAGAACATGTTTTTTTTCTCTGCACAACTGCAGTACTGATACCTACACTCTACTGGACATTTATATCATGGATTTGTAAATTCCCTAATTCATGCATTTCTTAGTTTCTAAAAGTTAATGGTTGCAGGATATTACCAATATATATATAAATGTTTTGATGGTTGTAAACTACAGGTTATTTTAGGTTTTAAAATTTTGAATATTGATTGAGAGAAAACTTTACAATACAGAAGAGAAACCAATACTTTAGAATGCTTTAGCCTATTCGACACAGGCTCGGTCCCTGGAATCGAAGTAAATGTAATAACAGGTAAAATATAACGTTTTATTGAAAAAAAAGGTGTGTATATATTTAGGAGGTTTCAGAGGTTGTGCAAATGAAATTTGAGATTTTTGAAATAAAGAAAAGTATTTTAAATCTTAAAATGAAAATCACTTTGCATTCAGACAAGTTTAAAAAAAAGAATCAATATTTTCACAGACAAATACAAGTAAAAATACTTCATTGAAAAATCTGATTTTTTGTGTGCAAAAGGCTTCTAATGTTTACTACTATAAGTCTACAAAATTTTGTAAAGATACACTAAAAATATTAAAAGTCATAGCATGAAAACTATAATAAACACAAAATGGTTATGAGGATTTGATTCTTCAGCCTGTAGACAACTCATTGAAGTAACATGAAAAGATAAATTGTAAAATCAGAAATATAATGAGCAGCTGTTTCCTTTTTCTTCATTATTGATCATGAGGTATCAAAGTTCTTCCCCTGACAGTTTCAAGTGCTAAACATATCCCATGTATTTTCTGTGCTTATTTTACTGTCATCGACAAATTACAAACCCACTGATAAGAAAGCAATAATTCACTGCCCGTGTTATAAGACTGTTTACGTACAACTGTAATATGAAACTCTCGAGCGCAAAAATGCATGGGTATTCAGTGAGGTGACATTTCCCTTGCTCCGACAACACAATATGGGATATAGCAGTTTATAGTTCCAACAACACTTTCAATAGGAATTTCCCAGGGTAATAAAATTGCAATTAGAATGTGTAAAAACATTTATTATATGGTTCAGAGTTGGGCTGATCCAATAAACATTGTAGGTTCTGAGCCGTGCTTATCCAATTACATAACAGGTGTTTCATTACTATGGTTACCGATTTGATGTGTGTGCGGAATTTCACAGCATAAGTACATGAAGGTGTTTTTTGGGCACATTCTTATAAATGATACTACCCCCTATCCATTTCACCACACTAGAGCCACTCTAGCAGACTTGCTAAAAATATTGCTATCTCAACAAATCATTGAGGAGGGAGGTTCTCATTTTATATTTAGCTTGTCTATATTTCAAATTCGAGTTTCTAATTTGTTAGCTACTTATACATGTTGTATGGTGGGCATAATAAAATGGCAACTGAACAATAAAACAACTGAACGTGTTTTGTGACACACAAAATCAATATTTAACATTTCCTTTTAAATTAAGAAATTAAAACATATATAATAACATTTAAATTATCACATCACCAACTTCAAAACTTCACTGACTTGAAACTATTTGAGCTAAAACTAAGCAAAGCTTACATGTTTATGGCCTAGTTACATCCACTGACAAGTTCTACCTGTACCAACAGGAAATTTAATTTTTCCATCACCTCATTAAGAATTATAATGGGTAAAAAATTAGGGCTAGAGATTTCTTTTCTTTTATGTTCCTTCAAACAAAAGTTAATAGAACTTATATGAAAACGAAATTTAAAAACTACATTCCAGTTATAATTTTACTTTGTAGGTAATTTGAAGGGATATCAAATTGTTTTTAAAACTTGATGTTCTTTTACATCTATAAAAACCTGAGCTACCAAGCTGGATACGGTTAAGTAAAAGGAAAATTAACTTTTTCTATTTTACCAGGCAACAAGAAAACTATCTTGCCTGTTCTCGAGTTCTTCTACATAATCAGCAGGTTAATTCCAGTAAATAACAATAAATCACAGTGTTCAAACACATACAGTACTAAAAATCCTTATCCTAATTCTGATGCATAGTGACAAATAAAACTGATGAAAAATTATACTTAAACTTAATCTTATTTACACCATAACAGTTATTATCAAGCAGTTCATGAATATGAACAGCCTCTCAACCACTACTGTGTCTGATGTATCACAGCTAGCCTGAAGATTCCTGGTATTGGGCAAAACACCTCCCCAGCACTAGATATAGCAGATATAGTGTGGTTGAAATATTATTAACACTCCTATTTACTTTCACCAAGAAGTTCTTATTAACTAATACTTCAAGTTTAAATTAACAAACCTTTTTCATCTGGAATTTAATTGTGGCTTTTACTTCATCAACCTTTGCCACCATTGATTCACCATGACTGAGCAATGTTGGGAACTTTCCAGCTTTATTCAGACCAGGACCCAGAAGTCTTGGGATCTGCTTAATTAAAGACTCGGATGCAAGAAAGGCATCATATTTTTTGGCTAAAACAAACAAACACATTAACATTAAGCATACAACTTGTTCTAACACTGTTTAATGTATTAAAATTTTTTGGTTGATTAAGATGTTAAGAAGAAGAAGAAAAACTCTCAATTTATTTTTTACAATTACTTTGTATCTACTTTAGATGTATACTTAAATGTGTTGATGGAAGATAATTATAAAGCCAGTGTCAGACATTATAAAAGCAATTTATCAGTTGGAGTAAGAGAATTTATAGGATAGAAACCATATTATTTCTATAAACCGATTTTTTTAAATATATCAAATAATACTAAAATGATACAAGTTTCTTCGGAAAAGAAAGCTAATGGCTTTCTGAAGAAAACATTTCAATATCTAAAGGCTACAAAATTAGCCCATATTATGCATTTTCAAAATTATATTACTTGTTTATTATTTCTTGGTCAAAACAAAACTACTAAAAATGTCTTATGGAAGGATGTTTTATCATGCAGATGATTCCAAAAATAAAAGACCATGTTTTCAATATATTTCACATCATTTAAAGAATGTAACAAAAAACGTTTATTGTTAATTATTAATTTTATGAAAGGAATTGTGGTTAGTCTTTTTCAGCAATATTTTAAATACTCCAGTAAAGAACAAAATTAGATATCTACTGGATGTTGTAGTGAGTAGTTGGCAGAAACTTATTCAAATTTTACTTTGATCAGCTAAACATATGCACACACACACACACACACACACACACATACATACATATATATATATACATACATACATACATACATACAAGTTCAAAACTTATCTTTAAGCATCTAATTACTGAATGAAAGATTTGTGACACAAAAATATATTCTATTTGAAAGTAATCTGTTAAATAAACTTACCTAAAAATGAATTATTAAAATAAATTTTTTTAAAAATTATGAAATGTTACAAACTATTGTATTGAATAATTTTTGATAGAAATTAGAGCAAACTTTCTAAATCTTTTGTATTCTCTTTTTGATATAAAAAAGGAAAATATTACTGTGCTCAAAATTAAATCTGTTAAAAAACACAAACCTAACTTTTTAACAAGTTTTTTGTTCTTGTTCAATTTTTTCAAAGCCTCTGAGTCCATGCAAGGAATTCCATTAGCTTTAGCTTCATCACAATGCTGCTGGTCTCCTAACACACAAACTGAATATTTAGGCTTTGGAATGTGCTTCAGTCTGTCAACACCAATAAAAATAATGAATAACCATTTGAAGTTTAAGTTATACAAATAAGCCATCAAATTTAAAATTATATATTTAAATACACCATATTTATTAAGTCCATAAACAAATACCTTTTTATGCAAAGTACCATTTATTTTTCAAATATTTCTGAATTATTGTTTATGAAAACCAGGGATACGTTCTATTTGCTGTTTGATTCTATTTGTATTCATTTAGTCACAATTTCACCCAAGATTTTTCTACAATTACACTGTATATCCATTTACAAATATTGTGAAGACAAGGTATCATTTATCAAAATGTACTGTATACAAGATGCATGTATAAGGATAATGTTGCTAATTTTATAAGAAACTACTCTCAGTCATTATGTAATTATAATTTCCTGTAAGGTTCTTGCATGGATGGTCTGCTGTAACAGGTTTATTGATTTCTAAGTCAACGGGCATATTTAACACATTGAAATAAGGCTACATCAGAAATTAACAGACTAAAAGGAAAAGTGGCATTTTTACTTTATACAAACTAATGGATAAAATGTTTTATGCTATAAAATTAGCTTAAATCTTTAAAACTGTCAATTGTGATAAGCAAAATAGTTCCACACATAAGCAAGAACACAGCATACTGTGCTCTACTTGCAGTTTTAGCTTACTAATATAGCATAGTCATATTTTACTCTTTCTTAGAATTATTTTGTATGTTATTCACAACTATTCTTTGTGCAAAAATACAAGTGAAATTCAAATTTTATCTAAATTAATAGCATTGCCTAGATGCACTGATGTTAATAGATCAAGTACTCAGGTCTCAGTTCTTAGCTTCACAGAAATCAGCTAGATACGAGTTTTCATCCTTGAACTTGGATCTATAAAAGGGCAGTGATTAAGGAATTGTTCCTACACTGAATCTTAACACTGGGAATCTGAATTAAATGAACACAACAGAAATGTTCAGATTCACGTACCCCCTCTGTGGTTTGCCCCCATATAACTCAGTGCCCTGCATGCTTCTAAAAATATTTGCCCAAATTTATTCAAATTATGTATTTCAATAGCCAATCAAAAAGGGAAGATGAGAAAATGCCAAAACAACATGACAAAAGGGGTTAAATAAAATTAATATCAAATGGTAAACAAACCCCATGAACAAGTTTTGCAACACAAGTTCAACAGTACATCATTCTCATTGTTTTATAAAACTGATGCAATATTGGTGTACTTCACCTTGGTTAGATTAAAAATGGAAATATCTATACAGAAAGAAATTGCAGAATGTATTGACATTATACTTTTACAACAGAAAATATATTACACACAACCTAATACATGATGATCAGTTCAACCATGTGGCAGTAACAAATAAAATTTTTCAATCACTTCTCCAATTGTTTTTAGAACCTGGTTGTAAGGTTTTCATGAAATTTAAATATGCTTCCTGATTAGTTGATAAGTACTGCATTTTGAAAATTACCAAAAATTTATATAAAATCACCCTTGTTTCCTTTTTGGATATTCATGCCAGCCAATTCAGCTTAAGGGCTACCTGTGCTAATCATCCCTAATTTTGAAGTAGTTGTCCAGAAGGAAGGCATCTAGCCAACAGCTACCACTGACAACTCTTGTTTAACCAGACCAAACAGTAGGATTTGACTAACACTCTTGACTCCACTGAATAATGGATCAACAGATCCATAGTCCATCATGATAGCCACTGGGTTACATTTGCTTACATAGAATTAAAACATTATATTTTATGATCAAAACAGATTATCTTCAAATTAAACCTGTTGACATAACTTTTTCCAACTAAAATCTAAAAAACTTTGTTTCTTGGTACTAATAGAACTTAACAACATCTTTGTAACTTCAGAAAAAGCACATACTTCACAGTGCCAGAAAATCGTTTATCTTTCTGGGGATCATAATTTTTCAGTGCGACCTGCAATTCCACCGTCTCCACAAATTTTCGTTGTTTCTTTTTGGAGTTTTCCACAACAACATTCACACATTCATAGATGGTGTCACGATTCACTTTAGAGCTAAATAAAAAGAGAATTTTATAATATTTTGCATGATATGAAAACAAATGTTTACAACCAAAACCACAAATCATTAACTACACTTTAGAATACTTATTCACTCTCACCCAAACCCATGATCAGAGCTGGTTAGTTTTTTTTAAATGCCATTGACCATATATTTGTCCAACCAATGAAATTATTTGTAAAACCACAGAAGCATCCTTGTTACAGTCAGCCAGGATTCTTTTTATATCAGCCAATCAACTTTCCAGCTATACAATTATCATTGTCATTAACATAAAGGAGGAATAGTTATTTTCCAAGCACAGATTCCTTACTCTGACTGATATGTTAGGTCATCAAGAAATTAATGTCGCGTTTTGGAACACTATCATTAACCACCCCCAAAAAACTTGCATCACATATAATAGTTAAATGAACTGCCTAAACGTCAGTCACGTTAGTGTAGCCTATATAACGAGTAAAGTTTTGTATACTCTAATCCCTTATAGTGATGGCACACGATGAGACACACATTTGGCATGTAATGCTGTTTGAATACAAAAAGGGAAACAACACCTCTGTTGCTACAAAGAATACCAAAGAAGTTTATGGAAATGTTTCCTACTAAGAGCAAAAAAAAAAACATTTTTCATTTTAGTTTTCACATTTCAATTGTACAACCTTAGGAACCTTCCAAATTAATACCAAATTCTTCTTTAAAAAAACTAATTTTCTGTACCCCAACACTAATTTCACATAAAATCAATGTAGTGAATTGAAAAGTTGAAAAATGAATAATGCCCTTTTTTGAATGCATAATTGATTCAAGAATTTCAAACTACTGACTTTTAAAATTTCATTTGTTAACTTTCCACATTTATACATCAGTGAGAACACATTAGCAGTTTCTTCTACACAGTGTTAAGAGTACATGGACTATGTAAATTTTGCACCGCAGGCATTACTCTATGAAGTTTAATTTGGTTTACAATTTTGGTGTAAAATGTAATTTCAATATACATGTAGAACACAAAAATAAATCACTCAATAGAATAGACTATCTTAAAATTATTATAAACTCAAATAATATAAAAACTTCAATTAAATTGTTCTGATGCTAAGTTTATTGACACACATTGATAATACTTGTGTAATGAAATTTTGAATGTAACTATAAAAGATAATGATATGTGTACTTTGATCCTACAGCATGGAAAGAATTAAATCACCTACCTAAAGCTATTCCTCACAGTAATAACTGTTTACAGATATAATATGTATCCTGAATTAAAAGCAATTTTTTCTTGAACATTTCCTGCACTTGTTTAGCATTACCACTTAAACCTTTTCGAGATGGGTCATGGGTGAAAGGCTGTCATCTTGTTTGTTGACTCGCATTCAAAATTTTACTGAACTACTATTTCATGAATTTATGTAAATAAC